GGTTGGCGCAGGATAGAGCAGGGTTTAGGGCTGTTGTGCATAGGGTCGCTATGAGTCGGAAACGACTCGACGGCACATAACAACAACAACAACATAACTGTCCATATCTAAGACTTCAAAAGATAAGATCAGTACATATATAACGTTGTGGAGTAAAGGCAGTAGGAGGAGGGTGACTATATACGTTATTCTAAAAGCTGAACACTATAAAGAGGATTATGGCATCAGGATTGGCATCAGTATGGCATCATCAATAACTTGCGTTATGCAGATATCACAACCTTGCTTGCAGATAGTGAGGAGGATTTGAAGCACTTGTTGCAGTATCAAGCTCACCACTGGACCAATAGGTAGTGTCATAATGGATGGAGAGGAGACTGAAACTGACAACAGCTTCATCTTGCTTGGATAAAAAATTAACACCCTTGTTATAATCAGTCAGGAAATAAGCAGATGCACTGCAAAGGGAAAATCTGCATTTAGGGACCTTTCCAAATTATTGAGGAGTAGTGATGTCAGTTTGAGGACTAAGGTGCATCTGATTCAGGGTATGGTCTTTCCTATTCCTAGCTATCCATATGAGACATGGACAATGAGTAAGGATGACAGAAAAAGAATTGATGCCTTTGAGCTGTGGTGTTGGAGAAAAACACTGTACATTCCATGGACAGCCAAGAAAACAAATAGGTATGTCTTGAAGAAGGTGCAGCCAGATTGCTCTTTAGAGATAAGAATGATGAGGCTTCGACTAACATACTTTGGGCATATAACTATGAGGTGCTATCCCTTGGAGAGGGACATGATGTTGGGAAGGGTAGAGATCAGTGAAAGAGAGGAAGACCCTCAACCAGGTGGATTGACAAAGTGAGTGCTGCAATGGGCTGTTGTGTGTCAGCAAGTGTGAGGATGGCATAGGACAGGACTGTTTCAGATCTTTTGTTCAAAGGGTCATTATGAGTCGTATTTGACTTGATGGCACCTAACAGTAGCAGAAGAGATTATCCATCTAGTCAATTAGAATTGCATACCTTTGGATTGGCAGCACAAATCTTTACTACTAAGCTATAAAAATGTAATTTGTTTTAAGATTTACCACCTTATTTAACTTCACCAACTTATTTTTATACTAAACTAGAATCACTTCATATATTTTTTTACCTTGAAGAACATGTAACTTATCATTTGAAGAATTAAGAAATTTATCCACAATCATAATTCTGTTCTGGAGAAGCTTCTCAATAAGTTCAAGTCCTTCAGGTCCCAGCAGTTCAAATAGCTTGTAAGAGAAGGGGAAAAAATTAATTCAGTCTAAAAGTTTTCAAGTTATTAGTTCTCTATAGCAAAACTGTGCAGTCGAATGAAGTATCAAATAAATTTCTGAAATATCATTTGAGAAAGAAAACATTTCTTAGTGCTAAGGAATCCTCAGCTTCATAAAAGCAATCAGTGACTAATTGTTCAATTACTGTAATTATCATTTATATAAAACATTAAGTCATAAAATAAACTCTTATACTTCATTTTTTCTGGGTACATTTGATTTACATTTTAAATTTAGTATTTTTACATAATATTCAGGTTTCTACCAGAGTATTAGTTTTCTTACCAGGTAAAATATAATCGTTATTTTGTTTTAAAGTCTTTTTAATGTTTTAATGAGTTATGATAAATGCCAAAAATTTTATATGTATTTTAGATGCTTTCTGAAATCTAAAACACTATCACAAATACTTTATGAAATTTTATCAAAACCTTTCATATCTATTAATTGCAGAATAGCTGCAAACAATCAAGTTGAGTCAGAGAATAAATATCACAATTCCAATTATAGTCACAGGCAGTTCAGAACACATGACTCATGCACAACTCCTATTTGCCCTTTAATGAGGACTTCCAACAAGTTCACTCATGAATCATTTGACATAACAAACAGAAAGACTAGAACTTTCATCATTTCAGTCATTTCTTATGGTAAATGGAACAGGAAAAATTATAGGTTGAAGCCCAAGAATGAAAGACTGAGAAAAGACAAAGTCAAACCTTTCAGGAGTGTAGTGTGGCTGATTTGATTATTGGTTAGGCTGTGCAGAGCTACTCACATTTAAAGTGGTACACTAGGTTGCAATCTTTGAACAGAGTGTGCAACAACTCACTTTATTGCCATCAAATAAAAAGCTACTAAGGCTGTATCACATAAAAGGAGATTATTCCTTTTTCTTCCACAGAACGCTGGTGGAATCCAATCACCAGTGGATTCAAACAGTCAGAGACATGCCATGTTTGGGTAAGCAGTGCAACTTTCATTGGTCTAGACCATCGGAGCTCCCATCTTGCATCTAGTCAACTTAAATAAAAATCATATGCACTAATTTTGAGTAGTCTACAAATTCTTAAAGACATATATAGGAATAGAACTAAGAATAAAAACCTACACAATAAGAAAACTATTCCAGAAAGCCTTTTAAATGTCCTCAACATATGTGAGTGTGTGTGTATGTGTGTGAGCAGATAGAGAGACAGATATCTATGTATGTGTGTATAAACATACTTATATATGATTTTAAGTATTATACCCAAATTTTATACATGAAGATTAATATATTAAAACAATTCCTTTCAGAGTATTTATATAAGAATTGATAATTTAAGTAGAAAACTTTGTTCCGTATATTTGAGAAACTAAATGTTTAATAGCTATTTTCCGTTTCTTTTTCTATTCACTTTACTTAAATTATCAATACAAAAAGGCACTAAAAAAGTAAACTTAATGATTAAAAATTCACTTATCCATGAATTTCATAAAAACGAATCAGTATCACATTTTCACACAGCAATAGATGTCTTATATTTGTGAACCAATCCAGCTGCCTCTATGGTATGTGTTCTTATGCCAAGTTTTTTACATGTTTCTGCAAAGAAAAACAGTTCAAGCTGTACTTAAGGTTCTGGCAAAAATAAGATTCCAAGAATTTAAGAAAAATTAATTAAGGATATTTCAACAACTAGGTGCTGTACAGATAATCTATGCCAAGAAAACAGAAAAGCAGCGACTTGGCCAAACAATTAAAATAAATTAATATTTGTTCTCATTACAAAGAATAATGATCCAATAGAAAGTATATTAGAATATTATCATTAACATCACACATCAGTAAAATCTTCTTAGGATAATTTAAAACGGCAGTATATAGACAGGAAGCTGTTAAAATTCAACCTGTATTTAAAAACAAAACAAAACTTGGGTATATAACTGATAATATACTTTAATGCCTCTGAAAACCTGCTGGTCAGCTATGGGTTGATTCCAAATTGACAGTACTTAACATCAACTAGTCTCTGGAGAAGAACATCACAGTCAGTATGATAGAGAGTGAATGCAAAAGAGGAAGACCTTCAATGAAAAGTGAGTTTATACACAACAACCCTGAGAATGGCCCAGGCCTGTTGTTGTTGTTGTTGTTATGTGCCGTCGAGTGGCCTGCGACTCACAGCGACCTTATGTACAACAGCCCTAAACTCCGCTCTGTCCCGTGCCAATCGCACTGTCTCTGACACTCCCATCC